CTTTTTCCTTCATTTTAAAATACATGTGTACATTAAATGCAACAAACACTGATAATACAAAAAAGAGTCATTAACTTACTAGCTAACACGCCCTACCCTTCAAGGAGAAGTCGCGGTTTTGATTATTTATAAATATTTGGTTTCTCAATAAATATGTCATTAGAAATAACCAATTGTTTCTTAGATGAGTAACAAATGAATTAACAATTTTGATTGGCTCAAAGATTACCATGTCATATTGCTTATTAGATGTCACGGACTTAAGACTTACACTAGGTCTTTTTCTTTCATTTTTAAAATACATGTGTACATTAAATACAACAAACACTGATAATACAAAAAAGAGGTATTGACTTACTAGCTAAAATCTCCCGCCCCTCAAGGAGAAGTCACAGTTTCGACTTTTTAGAAATATTTGGTTTCTTAACAAATATGTCATTAGAAATAGTCAATTGTTTCTTAAATGAATTATGAATAAATTATCAATTTTGATTGATTCAAATATAAGCATGTCATATTGTTAGTTAGATGTCACAGAGTCAAGACTTACACTAGGTCTTTTTCCCTCATTTTAAAATATGTGTGTGTATTAAATACAACAAACACTGATAATACAAAAAAAAAAAAAAGTCATTGACTTACAAGCTAAAATGCCCTGCCCCACAAGGAGAAGTCGCAGTCTCGACTCTTTAGAAATATTTGGTTTCTCAGCAAATATGTCATTAGAAATAACCAATTGTTTCTTAGATGAGTTATGAATGAATTAGCAATTTGATTGTCTCAAAGATTAGCATGTCATGTTGTTTATTAAATGTCAGTGACTCAAGACTTACACTAAGTCTTCTTTCTTCATTTTAAAATACATGTGTATATTAAATATAACAAACATTGATAAAACAAAAAGAGTGTCATTGACTTAGTGGCTAACACGCCCCCTCCCCCAAGGAGAAGTCGTAGTTTCGACTCTTGCCTTCGTCTTTTTTTTTTCATTTTAAATTATTACGTTTTAAAATATCTATTTGTGGCTGGCCAATGGCTAAAATGAAATTTTTTCTAAAAAATAATGGTAAATGGGGAACAAAGAAAATATTAAGGCTAAATGCAACCTCATATGTAAATGTTGAGGCTAAATGCAAACCGAGGAAAAATGTCAAACCAACACGTCATCATGACATGTGGGTGACCGGCCAAGGGCCCGATAATGAAACGTTTTCTAAAATATAATGGCAAATGAGGAACAAAAAATAAAGTTAGGGCTAAAACAGAACAAGATTGTATATATAATGACTTTTGTCGCATAAACCCTTTAAAAAATCGGTTCTCTAAAAACCAATTTCGGTTATAATCGTTTCGGTTTTTTAAAAAAATGAAAATTTATTTGTTTTTTGTATTTAAAAAACCGATTCGGTTTGATTTTTTAAGAAAAAAAAATGATTTTCAGTTTTTTTTTTTAAATTGATTCTAGACCGTCGGTTTGGTTTTAACCGGTCCGGTTCACTTTACGCAACTCCATAGTATCTATCTTAATATCATTTTCATTTAACATCCTTAGTCATACTTTAAATTCTAAAACTTAGTTATATTTAACCAATTTAGGGCTAATTACGAAAAAAACATCACATTTTTCCAAATGTTCGGTTTAACTATTAAGTTCTAATAAGTTCTGAAAAAACCATCATTTTTTGGCAATACATTTCAATGCTACCACTTTACCTTTTATATGTTGGGTTAATTACGAAGAAAACACTATATTTTTTTAAAAAGTTCGGTTTAACCACCAATTTATGGGTGATTGTTTTTAGCACAATTAAATTTGTGGTTTTTTTAACACAAATTAAAGTCATAATGGTAATAATAGAACTTTATCCAAAAATAAGTGGTTTTTTAGCACAAATGAAAATTAAATGGTTTAACCGAAAAAAGTTACAAAATAGAATGTTTTTTCGTAATTAGCCCTTAAAAGGTCTTCAGAAATGTTCACCAACAAATTTATGAAAACTTTTAGAAGCTTTTATTTTTATTTTATAAAAGAAAAACTCAATTTAAATAAAAAAATAAAAATAAAAAAAAGAAGTAGAAGCTCAAAACTTTTATTTGAAAATAAACAAAACAAAAACAGTTAGAAAATTTTTAGTTTTTATCATTTTATATTTCAAAAATCCACGGTTACTTTTTTTCGAACATTTATAGACCAATATAAGATACAACTTACAGTTTTCACCTATCAGTTAGTTTTGCCAAACCTTATTAAACTTTTCAAAATTTGATGGGGATAATTGTGTGGTTGTTACAAAAAGATTTTAAGAAAGACGTTTTTGCATTGAAGAAAATATATAAAGAAGTTTTTTCATAATATATCAAAAATAATAAACTATAGAAAGAGTTGACCATTGTGAAAGCTCTTATATAAAATCTATATTATAAGGGATACAACCGATATTGTTACAAGATTATTATTCATCAATGAGATTAAAATGATTTTCATATTCAAGTTTAATAGCTCAAACCAAGTTGAAGTCCAAGAGCCGCATGTACAAGAAACAATGTCATAATCCCGCTACCCAAAATCCCATGAACATTTCTTAGCCCCGGATTTCCCTACATTAACAACATAAATTTTTGGAAAAAAAAAATCCATAACTTTTAACGATCTTATCATTAAATTACATAATTCATTTGAAAGATTATATGGTAACTCATACCTCGAATAATGTTGGCAATGTTGTTTGTAGTGCTAAAAGGGTTAAACCGATCAATCCCGTTACAGCATGAGGACTACAAGAAATCAAAATAGAATGTTATAAATTTTGATTTTTTTTTTTTTTGGAATATAAGGGTAAAATGGTCATTACAAGTGTTTACCTTTCAAGGATAGGCCTATCAGAAGTAAGTAGAGAGGTTACTCCACCGGTGGCTCCAAGGGCAAAGAAGAAGAACATTCCCGCAAGGAGTTTCGGATGCAAGTCTTTAGCCATTGCTTTCTCATCCTAATTTCGTTAAAAAAAAAAACAACCAACAATTGTTATTTAATTTTGTCTTCTTTTTTTAATTTATAATTTTATAAAATCTGACACAAAATTTTTATTTTTTTAATAAGATTCTTACCACATTATCAGAGAAGCGAATGCGAAAACCTAAGTAAGTTCCATACCCACCCATGGCAAACAGCACAACTGCCTGCACGTGCAAAATAATAATAACATTTTTTTTTAATTTATATATGAAAAAAAAAATAAAAAATGATTTTTGAAATGGGAAAAAAATTTATACCATATTGCCAGGGTGGCCCCAATGAACGAGCCAACCAGGGAGATCCCATGATTTCACGAGGTCAACGAAAGGTCCAAACAGCGATCTAATAGTTCCAGCTGACGTTCAAAAAAAATCAAAAATTGGCAACTTTTTTACCCATAATAGCAACATACTTTATTTTTTTTTATTCATAACAATATATTATATATTTCTTTTACACATTGCTATTATTGGTGAAAATTGTAATTGCGTTCCTATTATGGTGAAAAAATGTAAGTACATTGCTATTATGGGTGAAAAATATACTTGTAAAAAACTAAAAATAGTAAAGTATGTTGCTATTTCCTACAATTACTAGAAATGTAATTTGAATGAGTTGAAATCAAACAAACTATTGTAAGAGTTTTTTCGTTTCATTTCTTTTTCACTTTGCTTGTGAATATACAAGCTCTCTACATAGAGCTTTTTCATAATTCAAAAATATATTTTATTCATTTATTTTACTAATTAAAAATAAAACTTGTTGTTTTGTTTATTACAATATAAAATAGATATGAAATACTCTAAAACTTATAAAAAAATTATTTTTGTAGTAAAAACTATGTATATTATTTATTTATTTTAAATCTAATTATACTATTTTTTTTTGTTGTAAAAAATTGTGCATATAATATATATAAATATATTAATTTAATTTCAAATACATATACTCATATAAAAATCATAAAAATGATATAAATTCTAGAATTGGTATGATCTATGATTGTGGTTTGTGGATGCTCTAACCAATCCCAAACACCCCTTATTTTCCTACATTTATAATTGAATCGATTGTGATGAAAATGCAACTAAAATCCATAAAAGTAAAATGATAAAACAGTTAACGAATAGGGAATTAGGAGTAGTGTTAATCGATTACCTCCAGGAAGAGCAGCGATTACGAGAAGGGGGAGGGGGGAGATCGAGTATAAGACGGTTTCACTACCACCCTCCTCCTCCGCCACCATTTCCGTTTCTTCTTCTTGAAGAATGTCGAGTTGAATCGGTTTCCTGAGGGCAGAAGTGGAAAAATAAACCCTATTTTTGCTGTTTTTGGTCGTAGATTTGGGTAAAAGTGAAGCGGAAGAAGGTAAAAATGGAGTAGGAATAGAAGGAGATGAGGAGGTGAGTCTGTGAAATGAAGCAGACGCACTACTCAACATCGCCATTTTCAATATATTATTAGCTACCGAGTCTGTCTGTGTGTGTGTGTTTGTTTTGGTGAGTGAATGAAAATATGAAATAGAAAGGAGGGGAGGGAGGGAGGGTAAAGGCAAAGAAAGAGACACGTTTAAGGTTGATAAGTTGTTTGGTAAGCTCAGGAACGTGGTCTCAACGAGCTCTTTCTTTCCCCTCAGATATTATCTTTACCTTATTTTTTATTTTATTTTTTTCTTTTTCCTTAGGTAAAAAAAGAAAAATCTACGTAAATTGATACAATTTTCTCGATGTATGAATGTATCTATAATCTGTTAATATTTATCGGACCGATTTTGAGAATGTTTGAGTGTGTTTCTTTAAGATAGTTATGTGAAGTTAAAATTTTAAAGGTAGAACATGATGCAAAATATGATGTTTATTTAGATTTCTTTTTACTACTGACCTTAGAATTTATTTTTAGAGCAAACAAATCCAAAAACCCCTCTTTAAAATAAAAATAAAAAAATAATATTATTAGATTTAAGATACTAGAATATGTTATATATAAACAACATGGAATAATCAGATTATTTTCCCATCAACATACACATACTATTCACATTCCGAATAATACAACATACAAAATGGGAATTAATTGTACAAGAGCCTATCTAATAGTAATACAACCTCATCTTTGATCTTTGACTTGTGAGCCACTCCCATTTATCACCACCTATCTAATCATTAACATCTGAAAGTAAAAATAACTAAAAATAAGTCATCTCAAATTATTTCAAAAACTAGAAAAAAAGGAGAAAACCTGTGATACCTCAATGTTATATACAGGTGTCATCGTTTGAAGAGGTGCATATGCATATCATCTATCTATCGACTCGAAGAACATTGTTATGTATGGATCCCCTCGCAACCACTTCTTTCATTGGATCAATCATCCATTTTCCATCAACTATAAATTTTATCTGCACTTATTTTCCATTATTTAATAAAAAAAAAATAATAATAACTCTTGTTAACAAAACACAAATATATATTGATATACCTCATAGATCCCAGGGTACAGCCACAACATGGACCTCCACAGCCTAGTGTTTCTGGTGAAAAAACATTTATTTGTTAAATTATAATTATTGTGATAATGCTGACCTGGCAATGAAAGAGAGTTGGAAACCTGAATTCGATAGGGTCTGTGATGTTTGAAGAAGGCTGTGGATCTAATTTGACACCATGATTCCAGCCATTGAAGCTACCAGCCACCTCTACACTCTCACCTTCACCCCAGTAGTCAACTTGAACCTACCAAACAAACTCAAACCTTCCATTAAAGTATCCAATTTAAACCTATATCACCTGACGTAGCATTTCATAGGTTTTTATTTTATTTTATTTAATATTATTGTCAATGGAATTAGGAAAATGCAGATCAAAATTTTGCCCTTGGTTACCACTACAAACATGAATCTGCTTCAATTGTTGCCATCATGCTTGCTAGGGTGAGCAAAATCGAACCTGAAAACTGAAAAACCTACAAAACCTTATGAAACTGAAACCAAAATCATCGATTTTGGGTTCCAGTTTCAAAAACTGAAATAATCAGTTTTGGTTATTATATTGTAGAAACCAACCCATTATATATTATTTTTGATTATTTAATATATACTATAAAAAAGTAAAATAAAATAGAATGGTCTGTATACACCACGTAGTAACAAAATGGGCAAATCTTAAATCCCTTTTGTTTTGTTTGCATCTTTGCGATACAGAGTCTCCCACCCAGCTTCTCCATCTCAACAAACCTATCTACAATAAGTGATTAGCTCTTCTGAATGATGAATCGACGAGGCGAGTCTCGTCTGCAATTGTCATTTTCTATCTCTTTCCAATTTTGTCTCACAATCGGCATGACAAGCTCACAATGTGCTCAGAGTGATTAGTTGTGAATACTACAATGCGTTGTGAACCTGTGATGCCGACTGTGAGACAGAATCAGAAAGAGATGGAGAATGGCGATGTTGCAGACGAGACTCATTCGGTTCACTTCATCATTCAAAAAAGTTAATCACTTATAGCAGGTAGGTTCGTTGAGACAGAGAAGTTGGGTGGGAGACGTCAAATCGCAAAAACGCAAGCAAAACAAAAGGGATTTAGGGTTTTGCCGATTTGGTTACTACCTGGTGTATACAAGCATTCTATTTTGTTATTTTTTTCGATAGTATATATTAAATAATCAAAAATAATATATAATAGGTTGGTTCTGGGTCAGTTTCTACAGTATAATAACCGAAACCGATTATTTCGGTTTGTGAAACCAGAACCCAAACGACAGTTTTGGTCTGATTTTAGTTTTTCAGTTTCTGGGTTTGGTTTTGCCCACCCATATTGATTTGTATCTATTACAACCTCCTCTTGAGAATAAATATCTCTTTTCTTTTGAACACTAAAATCTGGTTAGGGGAGTATACCCAATAAATGGGGATCCCACAACGATACTTACTATCTAAGAATAGCTCAATGGATTTCATCATGTTTGGGGGAGTATACCCAATAAATGGGAATCCCACAACGATTCTTACTTTTCTTTTGAACGGTAAAATTTGTTTGGGGGAGTATAGATTATAGACCACCCACCTGCATTTTCCTAATTCCATGTTTGTTAGCATAATATGGCATAAACAGTAGATAAAGACCAAAAAGCTTCTATGTATCCATATGATATCTGGCATTTTTACTAGTAATTTAGTAAATAAGGAGTTACCTGTTTTAATCCAGAAAGGCTTTCTTCAGCTGCAAGTAGCTCTGCATCTTTATCCAACAGAAGCTTCTGTGCTTTATTTATCTCTGTTTCAGCTTTAGCTTGTAATTCACACAACGCTTCCTGAGTAGCAACCACTAACCAATTGTTACTGATTTTTTCAAATCTTCCTTATAATGATTCATTCTGAAATATTTCAATGTTAATGAGCATACATTACATATAAAACCATATACTCACCTTGTTCTTCTCAATCTGTTCCTTCAACTGAGATAATTCCAACTCCTTGTGATGCTAAGCACATCAAAAACAATGACAAGATTTAGATATGCTACAAAGATCCAATAACTAGATTATTGAACATGAATATAATTATATAATTATATAATACCAGTATAACTTTGATGCGATTGATTTCAGCTTCATCCTCCTTTGTTCTGATCTGTCTTACATAAACACAAGATAACATGATTTAGATTTTAGAGAGAGAAAGAGGTAAGTAGAATCGTATATGAAAATCTGAAATCAGATAATGAAATAACCTCAACATCCTCAGCACTTTGTAGTTGATCATTGGAAGAAATATTTCTACAAAGAATACGAATTAATAAATTGAAATGGATCCCACAAAAAATAATAATAATAATAACAATGCAAACCTCAACTGAGATGTTGAATTTACAAGCTGGGATGACAAAACACTCCCATTTGCTAAAATGGCAGAATCTGAACATCAAGAAGCACCAAAAGCTGAATTTAATGCAAGGGAGATAAATATTTTTAACATAATTAATGAATCAAAGGATAAAATATATTATATATCTACATATTAACATGACTTGCCTTCAATTGTTTCAAGTTCTCCACTTTGAATAAATTTCATCGCCTTTTCCTGCAATGATGATTTAGTGGAAGTCTCTTCATTCGACAACAACACAGCTTCAGCCAACTTTGTTCCATTCTCATCTAAATCTTTTTAATACAAATGATTTAATAAGAAGAGTTTTGAGTTTAACTTTATCCATGCTGTAAAAAGTGAAAAGAAAAAAAAAACACCTGTTGATTCATCTTCTTCAGTATTGGTATTTTCCTGATTATCAGTCAAAGAAGCATTGACTTTGACCTCTTGTGAGGCTGCAAGAAGCTCTTTAATAAGTTTATATCCTCTTCTTCTCACAAGGTTAGCAAGATCTTGCCTATATAGTAATGTAAGAACAAAAGAATAATTCAAAAAAATTCTCTACAAGTAGAAGCCATTTCCATAAAGCATATAATTTCCTGGCTGATATAAAGTATGCTTTTGTATAGTGTGAGGATAGAACTGAAATCAAATGATATACAGATTTCTTAAGCCAATATGATAGACTTCCATTGAATCTCCATGATTACCAAGGTCAGAAGGGACTCAAATGCCATCTAATTGTAAATTATTCATGGCTATCATGCATTCCAAACTTTACCAGAGTAATGGACTAATGGTACTGCAAGCAATTTCTAGTATCAGGAACATTTTCCATGATAAGTAAAGGATTCATATCAGCAGACATGTATTCAAGTGCAAAACAAGGAATTGGAAATGAAGAAGAGATATATAATGCTACAGAAACTAAACCTGCCATGGTGCGAAAGCTCCTTCAAAGAAGGAACATGTCCGTCAGGAAGCCCAGCATCGGACATAAATTCCCGTAAATCGTTGCAGAGATCTGCATTGGTCCTCGCCGGTTTCCTGCCGGCAACTCTAAAGCACAAAATCCGTTTAACGAACCTCGAATTAGTAAAAAATCAACACGAACAAACGCATACAGAGGCACATGCAATCGAAAATGAAGCAACAAATTGCAAACCTTGTTTCATTCGGTGACGAAGCACAATCTGTGACGAGGAGGCAGCGGCGGTGATGGACGCCGAATTGACAAAGGCGAGGTTCTGGAGCGGCCGTTAACAGGAGTTTGTAAGAAGGGAGGAAGAAATGAGAGTGAGTGAGGTGCAGGTGCGTCGCCATGGGAGAAATCATCAGTTAAAGCTGAACATTGAGGTTGTTCTAGAATTTGACTTTTCTTTGAAATTTGAAAACACTGATGTGTTGTATACTCCACTACCAACTACCAGCACCTCCGCAACCACCGGTTCTTCAGCCGAGAGATTCCCTATCCTCCCTTCAGGAACCGAGCTTCACTGGAAATTAAGATTTAAGATACTCCTCCGTCAGAATTTAATTTAAAATTAATAGAATAATGATTTATCAAATTTAATTTGAAATACTTAATTTAATCAAATTAGGTAAAAATTAGCATATTGTCAGTTAAATTATTTCAAAAGGGTATATTTAGAATCAATTTAAGGGTAAATTTAGAATCAGTTTCTCTTAATGATAACATAGCCCTATATTTGGTAATTTGGAATTTTATTTAGTTATTTATTTATAATATTAATTTTAAATTTATGATTTTAAAAAGTTATCTTTCCTAATAAAAAATTAACCAAAAATATATTTCTCTTATGTATAATCTGTACAAAATATATACAAATATATCATTAGTTCAAAGTTATGTAATTACGGATATATTTATAAAATATATATATATATATTGTCTTTATAAGTTTAACTAGAAAAGCAAAAATACTTTTTGAACTTGTCTATTATGATTCTATTACTAAGGTCATTGGGTATTCCAAACACAAGGCCCCTTCGGGGCCAGATGGCATGGCCACCACGACCATACACACTATCTTCACATTTACGATCGTGGCCTCATGTGGTGTTTACCATAGAAGACCACATCCAATCAATTTGTTATTCTTCTACGTTCCTTTGTTCCTACCCTCTTCTTTCTATGGGCCACAACGGTGGCCTCATGTTGCATTACACCACCAAAGGTTGTGGAAGGAGATGGTGGTGAAGTGGACGGAGATAGTAGTAAGGTGGAGGGAGATTATGTTGGGAGTATATCTAATGGCTTAATAATCAATATTTAAAACTTATCTAGAAAGACAAGATTGTTAAAGAATGTGTACCATTATTAATTTGATTAACAAATTAATTGCTAACGGAAAGTCAAATATATTACAAATGAAACTTCTCAAAATTGAATTGTTGTTTTACTACTAAAATAAAAATTGTTATATAAGTTAATTTATGAAAAAAACTAGTATTTTCTACTCCTATTAAATCAAAAGAAAATATGATTATTTTCATTTTTTTTATAATATAAAATGATTTCTTACACCAAAATATAGTATTATAACCGGATAATCATAAAAATATCAATTTTCTTAAAAGTATAAAATGATTTACAACTACTTCCCAAACTTTTTATTCTTTGAAACTCTAGTTTTGAATATGAAGAACAAGTTCGGAGCTCATATGATTTTTGAACTTGTTCCGTATGTTCAAAACCCTAAATATAAGACTATATCGATTGGATCTGTGCTTTAGCATATGCCATAGTATAGAATAAGGTATAAAATGTACGTCTTCTTGTTTTAACAGCTTACATACATAATTAGTCAAAGCGTATGCATATACTTAACAAGGCTCGCAGCCAAACTTTATTGTTCCCATGTGGAAGAAGACGAAGTATGAAATATACACGTACGCAAATAGTTCATCTAGTATTTTCTAACTCATCATGCCTATTAAATCAAAAGAAAATACACAATAAATTAAGTTTAAGGGACCAATTTCGAATTGGAGACCAAACCAAGGGGGCAATTTATGTAGTTTACTCAATAATATATTACCATAAAATCAAATACAAAAGAAAAAACATTATGACCAAATAAAGCCCAAATCCGCAATTAGCAAAGCAAGCACAACATGCTTACACAATATACAAAGAAGAGATAATAGAATTTAGAGGTTGTATCGACTAATTCTCATGCTTAACACGTCCCTTTAGTATCCCCGGAAGTGGAGGGGATGGTGGAGGTCTACCGTGTGTTATGGTGGACCTCGGCTGCATAGGAACCCCACCCTCAAACATGCTGGACCCCACACCTCCTTCTGTACAAACATTGTTTGTTCCATCACCAAACTTCATGGCCTTGAGGACATAATTGTCATCATGTAGCTCAAATGGTGTGCTACAAATACGCCAACACAAACAAAAATACGTGTTATTACTTGTCACATTATTTTATTTTATTTTTAAATCCAAAAAAAGAAAAATGAAATAAAAAAATATATAACCTGTTAAAGTCGAAATGAACGAGCTGCATATCTTCTGAAATTTCAACCTCAACAGTCGCATGAGGCCGAGTCTATATATTACAAGACATGAGAGAAGGGTATTTCAGACATTTTACATTTAGGTCATTTTAGAGATTCAACCAAACGTTAAACACTTCCATGATGCGATTTCATGAGACAAGAGCAAATCTTTCAATATTTAGCTAAAAAGACGAAAATACCCTTTTGGAAGAATCGTACCTGGACAAGTATAAAAGGCAAAGCCACTCCACCACTTGGTGCATTTCCAGACCCATATAACTGCTCATTCCTTTGTATGAGGTTTTGAAGACCTATATGCTTTATAAAAGAAAAAAAAATGTATCAAAAATTATTTCCCAATATTAAATTATATAAAATATTTCTCACTTGATCTTCTAGTTCTCGCAAATAAGCTGCTTTCTTGTCAATTCTGTTCTTGATAGCAATACGCTCACTCTATGACAATTAAACAACAATTATAAACTATACATTATAAATATATCTATAGATATAATTATATAAATACCTTTAGTTCTTCAATATCATTCAAAGTAGTTCGAGGTAGGCCCCGCCATTGTATTTCCTTTTTATCTTTAGAAATAATATCCATAGCCATGAGAACATTTAGTGCATCATATACCCTTCTACGAATATTCTTCTCATCATATTGTTGCTGTGAATGTAATCACCATTTAAATAAACAAAAACATAATGCTATATAAAAATAATTCAGTAGATTTTTTAAAGTACAATTCCTTAATAAGAAAATACTTCAAAGTATTGTAAACAAATAAATGAAACATTGCAATTTTGAAAGAAATGAAATATAAAGTTTGAAGGTGACATGAACCTGATCAGGAGGTTGATCACTATTTCTAGGATCTGCAAATTCAGTTACAAGTTCATCTGCAACCTATAAAAATCAAACTTTCTATTCAGTTTTTTATACATTTTTTTATTTTGTGTGTGGAAATTATATAAAAGTATGGTGAATAAGAAGATTAAACTGAATCAACTGACCTCATTATAAGTGGTTCTTCCTTTGCTTTCTACTTTTTCGCATACTAAGATAAAATAAAATTAAAGAGTATAAACTTGCATTGTGGGGTGTGAAATTTTGGGTGTTTCAAAATTAGTAAACAGAAGGGCAAAATCGGAACCTTTCATGCTAAATTGGCGAAGTCCTCTTCCTACTTTATCCCCTCCAGTTGCACGTTGACTTCGTTTTTTCTTCTTATTTCTGTTCATCATATACAAGAAATTTATTCCATTCATCGAGAAAATATAAATGTGTATATGTCTCAGTACAAGCAAAACTTTAGAAATTTTCCTCCATTTGGATAAGTTTACTTCTTTTGGATTCTTTAATTAACCAAAATAAAAACCAACAAAATCCCAGAAATCGAAACCAAAGCTTCAAGAACAAAACCATATAACAAAATTCTACTTCAAAAGCATCAATTTTCGGAAGAAAATGTGAATATTGCTGCAAATTTCATACCAATTTGTTTATTTGGTAGTAGTTGTTATAAAGTGGGTACTGATTTGCTTCCAAAGTGGAGAATTTCATGTCAATTTGGAAGTCAACGTTTGATAATTGAGGGAGTATAGAAATTGAATCGAGTAAAAGATCTCACCCAGCAGCTCCTTGAGATCCAGCATCATCAGCGTGAATATCAAGGTGATTCAACCTCATAAACGTGTTATCACTAGCAGGCGTCGCCGCCATTGCAGCCTCACTCCGGGTCGACGGCGACCCAACGCTGCCACTAGTCGAAACAGATTGTCCCGACGCCGTTGTACCCCACGACCGGGTCGCACCACCTCTCGAAACAACCGAAAGTGGGTTTGTACTCCCGACGACATTTTCCAAATTATCATTCGATCCCATCCTCACCATGAATACCCAAGTAAATTCATCAAGAGTTGGCAAATTTCAAAGGATACCCAGATGAAAACAAATCATGTTAGATCTGAATTTGGATGGAGGAGCTTAAGGGTTTGTAGATGAAAACAAACAAATGGAACATCATCAAAGAAAGATTCTTTCACTCTTTTAACTCTCTCTAGAATGGGGTCTCTTTAGGGAAAGAAGAAAAAAGAAAAGGGGTGAAATTGCAGAGTTTTAATGGTGGATTGTGTAACGTGTTGATCAGAAGAGGTGTTGAGAGAGTGTGAGGTGAGGGGCGTTGAAGAGGAAATTGAGGAAGGAGGGAAATCCAACGAGGGTTTGTAGTTTGTACAAATTTCTTTTTTTAATTCCATTCTAATTCTACCTCCATAATTAATAAATCTTTTTTATTACACTTGTATATTTTAGTAATGATAGGTATTTGATTTTTTCAACAACTAATACGAGTTTTATTTTATGTCGACATATATATTAAAATGAACAAAAAGTAACCCTCACAAGAAACGTTTTAAACATGAGTTTTCTGCTTACAATGATAAAAAAATAAATAAATAAATAAATAAATACTTTCCAAATTGTATTATAAAGTGTAGAAGGGATAGGGCCAGTGGCGGAGCCATGGTCAAAACAAAGGGGTATCCCAAACCGATGGGTTCGGTTTCTCGGTTTTTCAAACTCGGTTTCGGGTTTAAACCCAAATCCATTCGGAAGTTTAATTGGTTGAGAATTAATAAGCTTATGTTGCTTATATAACAGATGTATAGGAGTTATGTTTCATTTATGGCCGATGTGGGACAATTTTAGAATTTTAAAAAACAAATTGAAAAAGTGATAAACAAAAATAAGTAAACCAATGTAAGCACCAAGATTCGAAATTGGAACCTCGAACTTAAAAGTTTAGCACTTTACCACTTAGACAACTCAATATTTGTGTTTAATTTTCACAACATCATAATATAATAGGTATAATCTGTATAAAGCTATATAAAAAGAGCTGAGAAATAAATGAAGAAAAATGTTTGAAAGAAGATTTGAACTTGCAACCTCCAATAGCATTCC